AAAAAAAAAAAAAAAAAAAAAAAAAAAAAACCTATAACCATTTGCTCATAATTATTTTCAGGTGCGCTATTTTACCTGAGTTTTGTTATGGAAGCACTTGATTGATCCTTCAACCTACAAATAATTTTATATTATTAAATCATATTTCAGGAGTTGTCCACAGCAGCAATTTTTTATCGATGGAAATTTATAGCCATCAGTAATAACCAGTATTTTTCTGGGAACTAAATTGTGTAGCCAGAAGTTTTGAAGAGAGAATTTAAAGTGAGTCATTGGATTTTCGTAGCCTTTTCTTTGATGCTGGGAAATGTCACCTTGCATTATTGGTCTTTTAGGCCCTATAATTAAGAAATAATGTCCATGTCAGGGTTTCTTTACATTTAACTCCATAGTGCTCTCATTTTTCTCCCTAAACATTTGTGCATAAAATTAGAGTAGTCTGGATTTCCCCCCTTCTGTTCATTTCACTCAATTGCATCATTTCTTAAGGATCAGCTTATAAAACAACTTATTCTTCTGATGCAAGGGCATTGCATGAATGAAGCTGAATATATTCTTTGTAATGTGCTTTTTTTGTTACATACCGGGGATCGAACTCAGGACCTTGTGCTTGTGAAGCAGGCAGCGGAACCACTGTGCTAAATCCCCGGCCCTGTACTGTGCTTTTTTTCTTAAATCCATTCCCATCAGAAACTGAAAATCATATTTCCTTGAATGCATTTTTGTAATGAGAAGCCACTCATGATGATGTGGCATGTCTAGTTAAAAAGACGGGTATCTGAGAAGTGTACTCAGTGGTAGTGGCTTTTGTAATTTATAACCGAGTTTACCAGTGACATTGTTTACATCATGTGAGAGCATGATGGAACATGACTTAGAGCTCTGTAACTTGCTGATAATTTTGCATTCTGACCTTCCTCTTTGTGCAGTGACATCGGGATCGGTCAGTCCCAAGACGACAGCATTGTCGGGCTGCGGCAGACCAAACATATCCCAGCTGCCTTGCCGGTCAGCGGAACCTTGTCATCCAGCAACCCTGACCTGCTGCAGTCGCATCACCGCATTCTGGACTTCAGTGCCACCCCTGGTGAGTGCACTGGGACTGCTTTCTGTTGGTGGCATAACGGTAGTGCCATGTGGATCTCTCCTGCTTGGCACCGATGCTATCAGTTGCCAGATTCAGGATGAACTTGAAATTCCAAGTCATCGAAACCAGTTGTTGGAGTCTGCAAACTATTTTGAGATAGCTGTGAGCCTGTTAATCTCCCCAGACGTGCCGCTGCTTTGACACAGTGAACATACCTTGCTGTTACTGCACAGTCAC